CATTGTTTATAAGCTGGCCCAAGATATTGTTCACAAGCGATGTGGGATTTATTTCTAACAATCGGCAATTGAAGTATCTCAAGGATTGCGAGATTCAAACTCTTCAAACCTTTCTATCACTAGAAAATATACTCCAACAGTAAATAACACAACCTCGAGAACCATTTTGTTAAATAATTAATCCACAATTAGCATAAGCACAGAGCTCAAGGTATAAAGCAAGCATGTCAAAGTAACAAAAGTAAATATTTCGATGCCCGTAACAAAATTGAATATTATCCACCATAGATAAATTTGAAAGCATCTACCACGCAGTGTAAAAAGTAATTTGCAAGGAAGCAGGAAGACAAAAAATAGCTGATCCTAATAGATGTCACTGTCTGGCTGACCGCTAAAATAGCAATTTCTGATTGATTAGGGTAGTATTTGTAATCGTGATGACTTGTACAGATAACTTTAGCAACTTCTTTGAAGTTCCACTACACGGTTTAGGGCCTTTAGGGCATAGGCTATTGGGCTTTCCAATCTTAAAATACTTTAAGGACGACCTTTAAGCCATTGGGCTTTCCAATCTCAAAATACATTTAATGGGGGAAGAATTATCACCCAACTAATCCCTCTTCTATGAAAAGAGGGAATCAGCCATGCACTATTCATTCAAGACGTATTTATCTGTCCCCATTTTATCCTTCGTTTACTGTTCATCATGGACAAATATAATGCTGCGGTCAAAAATGTAGGCGGTGGGAAAGGCGGTGGCTATATCACTCCTATGATTCTTCTTACCTTCTCTTAAAGTAGCCGACCTTTACTTTCCCTTTACTCTCCCTTTCTCTTTCTCTTTCTCTTTCTCTCTCTTTCCGTCGAAGATCTAGACACCGTTCCTCTTTTTTTCTTCGACCTCAGGCGGTGGTTTGGAGTTGGGATGGAGGTGGAATTGACGGGTTGAAGGTGGTGAAGAAGGGGCTGGAGCGAGTCAACATGGTCGTCAACCCTGAGAACAATTTATTCACCTTTGGGATTGTTTTCATTTGGCACTTGTGTCGTGAACTGAAGCTGAAACCGCAAACCCTACCCTTCCTACATTCCTAATTCCATTGATTGATTGTGTCGTGAACTCAAGTTGAAACCGCAAACCCTACGCTCCCTAAATTCCTAATTCCATTGATTGATTGATTGATTCCATGATTTCCATTCGAAATCGAAGGCCGAGGCAGAGGCAGCACCGCAGCAGCAGCTGCTACTGACGCGGTGACTCCACGGGTGATGACAGGCAAGGCCGAGAGGATGAGGAGAAAGTCGCCGGCGCCGCCAACGACGTGTTTTGCCGTTTTGGTCTCAAATTCTTCCGCCACTGCTTCGATCGGACTGGTGGCTGGATTCGCCCCTCAGGTAAATTTTTTCCTGTT